TTGCAGAAACAGTTTCCAATTCTGTTTTTTTTTTTTAATGCAAAATTCATGAAGCACAAATAATCATAAAATTAAATTGCTGTGAAAATTGTTACTATGCTTTGAATGAGGTGTTTCAGATCACAAAATGTAAACTTGAAGATATTTAAAAAACAAAGTAAACTGAGATTTCACAATATTAAATAGTACAAGGATATGTCACTACACTGTATATCAGTACCTTGAATGGGAATTTTAAGATAGTGTATACAATATCTGCACTAAGTGAACACCCTGACTCGTAGTATTATAACATTTATGACACATGTTCTTAAACAGCATCATTCAGGAACCTGCCATTGCCAGCCTTGGTTGGGTAATAATGATGCTTAATTCATAGATATTTAGAAACAAGTTTAAATGTGCAATGGTTTGACTTTATTTACAGACATTTAGATAGTATATATTTGGTTTGCTGTAAGTTAAAGGCCATTGACCATTATTAGATGGCTCCTTGTTTTTAACACATTGAGGCCTATGTTCATGCACTGTATGGGCATGGCCATTTGGAGTCATAAAATTGAGTGGAGCCAAAGGTAGGATATTGATAGTACCAGCATGTAGCTGGGTTCTTGTAGTACCTCCTGCCACTGCGATGGGGCACATCTGTTTCTGTTAAATAACTGTGAAGTAAAAAAAGAAAAAACTCTTGGCCCTGATGTCTGAGCCTTTTTAAATGTCTAGGCCCAAAAGTGTTGAGTCAGTGTAACTGTAATCCTTTCACACCCAAGGATTCCATTTGGCACCACCTATATTAAGAAATTTCATAACCTCCCCTTTGAAAAGTTTTTGCACAATGGCAATGTCAGCTTTGCCACAACAAGGCAAGTTACCAGATAATTTTTTTAAATAATGCATCAGTGGTATCTGTGTGTATTTAGTGCAGATCGATGAGTGGTTGGAGGTTTTTGAAAGTTGGAAGTGAGTAACTTTCAGAAATTCTTTTCCTAATTATTTTTTTTACATTTTTATGAGTGAGATTACAGAAGGTGGTATAGATATGTTTTAAAAGATAAGACAGAAAGTAAGGATATGATAAATGCTACCAGAAGAAATTAAGTTGCATATCTTTCTTTGACTGTTATTGGTCTATGGATGAAATTACAGGATCAGCTTTTCTTATGCTACAAGAAGCCTCTTTTCAATTCCAGACTCACTTTCCCTTTGATTTGTGGTGTTAAGAAATGGGGGCTAAGGACTGATCAAAAAGTTATTGCACCCTCTGGCTTCTTCCCATGCTGTTGGTTTGGACTGATGAAATTATGCATGGCTGAGTTAAATAGCACATCCTTTATTTCTTCCTTCTTCTAGAACAATTAATGTAAAATCAGAATGGATCACATGGGCATAATTGCAAGTTATTTCAAGCAAGGTTTGTGTTTTAAGAAAATAATTTGATAAAATCCTGGAAACATTGAGANACACTAAAAGGGGCAGGGACTTCCCACCCAGTCCCCCCTCGGCGACATGAAAGATCTGGCATCTCTGTCACAACCTGATTCTGGCCTGTTAGCCAGCTCTCTGCGATCGCCTTACGAGCCTCACTTCAGGAGAATCATAATTGATGATAGTTACTTGTGCTGATGCGCTTGCATATTAGGACCAGAAACAGAATATCGAGTTGTACACCTATACTATGCTAAAGGAGTGCCATATTTTGCTTGTAAGCCTTGACCTAGCCTCAACTTAAGATCAGTCTGAATGTTGGCGAGTAGATTCAGTGCCTTTATCCCATGATCGACTCAGATCATACTCACATTAGTTAGCCTAAGCCTGTTACAGCGCCCAGACCTGCCTGTTAAACCTGTCCAATGTAGATTGAGACCAAGTTCAACCCTCTCCAAGGCTTTGGATTTGTGTCTCGTTCATATCAGTCAAGAATCCAATCATCACTTCAATGTATACTTCTTTTTTTTATTTATCCCGTACTTACCCAGTCGTCAGTCAATGAAGTCACTGGTTATTTTATTCAAACCCTTCTTATCTGAATGACTTAAGTCTTGTTGGGAACTAATGAGAAATTTCCATTAAAAGTGGGAGCAGTGGTGTAGTGAGGGGGACTGGGGGGGTTCAGCCCCCCCAAGTTTGGTTCAAGCCCCCCCAACTCCGGTCTAAATGCCTAATCTGATGTGAAATAAATATATATTTTTAAAAAGATTTGGTCTGGTCTGATGAAAACTTATGAATTCCCCAGAATGGCATAAATTCCTCACCTGCTTCTTTGTCATCCTTGTCCTTGTCATCATGGATGATATAAGAGGTAAAAAGTTTTGGAGCAGATATAGCCCTTGTGCAGGTGATTGAGGTCTTAATGTGACTCTATTTGCCTTGCTGAGTGATGAAAGGACATTATTTGTGAGGAAATAAAGATTTTAAAATTTGAAAACACTCTTTCCTACCTGACTGTCTTCAGGCTCTATGACAAAGGCCAATATCAGCATAATCACTGACTCCACGAAAGGTCCATTTCCAAAGAAAGTTTTTTTATGGAGAAAACTCTGGAAATCCTTGACTACAGCCAAGATGGACTAACATCTAAAGTTTGTATCTAAGCTACATTTTTAGCAGTTGATAACCCGCAGCATCATTAAAAGCTTATTGCAGAAACAGTTTCCAATTCTGTTTTTTTTTTTTTAAAATGCAAAATTCATGAAGCACAAATAATCATAAAATTAAATTGCTGTGAAAATTTTTACTATGCTTTGTATGAGGTGTTTCAGATCACAAAATGTAAACTTGAAGACATTTAAAAAACAAAGTAAACTGAGATTTCACAATATTAAATAGTACAAGGATATGTCACTACACTGTATATCAGTACCTTGAATGGGAATTTTAAGATAGTGTATACAGTATCTGCACCAAGTGAACACCCTGACTCGTAGTATTATAACGTTTATGACACATGTTCTTAAACAGCATCATTCAGGAACCTGCCATTGCCAGCCTTGGTTGGGTGATAGTGATGCTTAATTCATAGATATTTAGAAACAAGTTTAAATGTGCAATGGTTTGACTTTATTTACAGACATTTAGATAATAGTATATATTTGGTTTGCTGTAAGTTAAAGGCCATTGACCATTATCAGATGGCTCCTTGTTTTTAACACATTGAGGCCTATGTTCATGCACTGTATGGGCATGGCCATTTGGAGTCATAAAATTGAGTGGAGTCAAAGGTAGGATATTGATAGTACCAGCATGTAGCTGGGTTCTTGTAGTACCTCCTGCCACTGCGATGGGGCACATATGTTTCTGTTAAATAACTGTGAAGTAAAAAAAGAAAAAACTCTTGGCCCTGATGTCTGAGCCTTTTTAAATGTCTAGGCCCAAAAATGTTGAGTCAGTGTAACTGTAATCCTTTCACACCCAAGGATTCCATTTGGCACCACCTATTTTGAGAAATTTCATAACCTCCCCTTTGAAAAGTTTTTGCACAATGGCAATGTCAGCTTTGCCACAACAAGGCAAGTTACCAGATAATTTTTTAAAATAATGCATCAGTGGTATCTGTGTGTATTTAGTGCAGATCGATGAGTGGTTGGAGGTTTTTGAAAGTTGGAAGTGAGTAACTTTCAGAAATTCTTATCCTAATTATTTTTTAAACATTTTTATGAGTGAGATTACAGAAGGTGGTATAGATATGTTTTAAAAGATAAGACAGAAAGTAAGGATATGATAAATGCTACCAGAAGAAATTAAGTTACATATCTTTCTTTGACTGTTATTGGTCTATGGATGAAATCACAGGATCAGCTTTTCTTATGCCACAAGAAGCCTCTTTTCAATTCCAGACTCACTTTCCCTTTGATTTGTGGTGTTAAGAAATGGGGGCTAAGGACTGATCAAAAAGTTATTGCACCCTCTGGCTTTCTCCCATGCTGTTGGCCTGGAGTGAAGGTATTTGTAGCTACTGATGAAATTATGCATGGCTGAGTTAAATAGCACATCCTTTATTTCTTCCTTCTTCTAGAACAATTAATGTAAAATCAGAATGGATCACATGGGCATAATTGCAAGTTATTTCAAGCAAGGTTTGTACTGATGAAATTATGCATGGCTGAGTTAAATAGCACATCCTTTATTTCTTCCTTCTTCTAGAACAATTAATGTAAAATCAGAATGGATCACATGGGCATAATTGCAAGTTATTTCAAGCAAGGTTTGTGTTTTAAGAAAATAATTTGATAAAATCCTGGAAACATTGAGAGAAGCCTAAAGAGACTACATATTTTCAAATCCCAGGAATTGAGAAGCTTAACAGTGTTTCTCTTTGACATGGAGCCCAGCAATGTCATCCAGTTACTTCAAGGATTGGTGCTGAAGCTGATGAAGGCCTGACAGAGTCATAACTTGTCTTCAGTGGTTTTTCATTTTTTAATGCAGCCACCCACAACTGAACATTGAGGGAGACAGGTGAATAGTCTCCTAAACCTTCTCTTAACATTCCCTGGATTTTATGAAATTATTTTCTTGAAATTCAGCCACTGCTTGGATAAACTTGCAATTATGGCCACATGATCCATTTTGGTTATATGCTCATTGTTCCAAAACTTGGAAAAAATAAAGAATATATAGAATGTTCTACTGAACTTAGCCATAAGCTATCACACTTATCATTTGATCAGTAGCAACAAATTCATTTACTCAGGGACAAGAGTATAGGAAAGAGAGAGGGTGCAAGGACTTTTTGAACAGCATTTGTAAAATCTATTATTAGCATCCAGTACATTAAACTATAAATCTAATTTGTTAAGTTGGGTATCACTCTTTACTTGGTGGGTAAACTGATATTGATGTGGTAGCCATTATCTGAGCAATCCTAAGTTAGAACTTTTCCAATCTATTTCCAAGGGCCTGACCTTTGATCAAATTTGTCAACGTTTGTGTTTTACATTTCATTTTTTTCATGAAGAAATATGTGTGCATCTGGATACTGAAATGGTTTTCTCTTGGTGCAAAAGATGCATTTGTATTGCTACACAGCTTATGTCGCATTTCATTTGAAGCCTCTTGAGGATAAAATAAACTTGAGCCATTCCTTGAAGCTGGAGATCCTATGAAGCTGGTGGAACAGTTCTCTTCACAGAAATTGTTTAGGCCTTTTGAACTGTGGCCAATCTGTGATTTGTTGGGAGTCTAAATTAGCATTATTTATCATGGGTGATAAACGAAGAGGGAGTAATATAGCCATCCTGCACAAGAAACGTGAACTGAATGTAAGTTCTCCTGTAATTTCCTCATGTCTGAAACTTGCTCACTTGACTGCAGCAGGCTCTGCTTACAGGATCAGTTCAGCCAGAGGTTCAAGAGAGCAATGCATGTGACCAGGAAGTGGATATCACAGTTAGATCTGGAGAAGGAATTGGATGGACACAGTGGATGTGTCAATTGCCTAGAATGGAATGACTCGGGGAAGTCAGTGGAACTCCTAACATATTGAGTCCATTTGTTGAAGGACTTTTTGCCAGGGGATTCTCAATGAATCTTTGTTTTCTTTCAGTCTTCTGCTTTCTGGATCTGATGATCAGCATATTGTCCTGTGGTATCCCTTCAAGTATAAGAAGCTTCTCACACTACCATCAGGACACCATGGGAATATTTTCTCAGTCAAGGTTTGTGTGTATTGTCACTAAGTATTTTCTGTGCTTTACATGTTGCTTTCTTTTAAATGAGAATAATACCTTTAATTATGCTGGTATTTCCAGTTCCTGCCTCGTTCAGGGGACCAAACAATAGTGACAGGAGCTGGAGATTGTCGTATTCATGTCCATGACCTTGGAACTCAGGAGCTGACCCAGTCTTGTTCATGTCACACAGCACGTGTGAAGCGCCTTGCTGTCTCTCCTGATTCCCCATATCTCTTTTGGAGTGCTGCAGAAGATGGTCTAATCTTGTAGGTTTCAATCATGGTACCTCTTTTGTTTCAGGGCATAGATAATAGAGATTTTAAATGCCCTGTGTTTCTTCATTCTGGTCTGCAGGCAGTTTGACTTGAGGATACCACATCACTGCAGCAATGAATGTGACAATGTCCTTGTGAACCTAACCAATCACTTGGGTCGATCAGCTGAAGCTAAATGTCTAGCCATCAATCCACTACGCCCTGAGATGCTGGCTGTTGGGGCAAATGACCCTTATGTACGGCTGTATGATCGACGAATGATCTCCCCATCCTCATACAGAGTATGGATCCTCTCCAATCTTCCAATATATGCCTATATATGATGACATTTTGTTATAGCTGTTGTAAAGCTCAGAGGCAAATAATCCTATGTGTGTGTGAAGAGGAGTTTATATTCCTATGTTAGGCCTACTACTGTAGACTCACCAGTGATAATTAATAGTATCCTGCATTTTTTATGGTGAAATGAGCATTGGAATGAGTTCAACAATGACTACATTGAGGCTGAAGCATTATTTCTTCCACATTTCTATAAGGAAATACCAGGAAATGCTTATTAACCCAGTTGAATGGGTGGATGAAAAAAAAAAAACTCATTAAACTTATGGGTCATTCCACGCCAAATCGACCAGCGAGAAAGCTCGACCATCTCAGATTTTGACAAAAATCACCATACACATAGAGGAATTGATTTAAAGAATACAATTTCAACCAAATTTTTTTATTTCCCACAGATCTCCAGATATATGCATTTTAATATGACCTACTTTTCACTCCCAGCGCCCATACGGACTGGAATTGTGAAACTGTTTCTGCAATAACTTCCCCTCTAGTTAGGATATAAGCTTCATTCTGGTGTCATTTTAATAGTGAGATTGCCCTCTTTAAATTGATTCAGAGTATTATTCTCCTAAGCTGAACCAATAAGTTCCACAATATCAAACAGTTTGATCAAGTTCATTGGCCAAAATCGACATTTGCCACCTTGGGAATTCTTTGTTCCAATATTTATTTTAAAAGTGCATGGTATGCCATTTCTGATGATACCAAGATCGAGATTGGCACTCGATGGCTTGCCGAGATATTAGTTTTTACCTGCCACAGTGCCAAAATTCCACATGCTCGAACACTTTCACTGATTTCAGTGATCTACCAATGCACTTTCCACTCCGTGAATCCCCACTTATAATGCATCAATGAAAAGGACCTACTATTGCCTTTCTAATGATACAAGATTCAATGTTGGCACTCAAGGGGTTCACGAGGTATAAAAGTTTGATTGCATCGACAGTGCATTTATAGTTACTCCAGGGGAATCATAGAAATATAGCCCAATGTTATGAAGCTGTATATGTTAAATTTTTGCTGTTTGCACAGTTTTTCAATAAAATTACTTGCATTCTTTTATTATTATGGAATTACCTAATTAATTAAATTTAATTAAGTGAGTTAATTGATGTGACTGTTCAAAAATTAATATTTTGTAATTTTGTATGCTAGGAAAACAATAAAATGCTGAAAATTAGAAACCAGCAAAAGTTTCATGTTTACAGCTTCGTAACATTGGGTTATATTTCTATGATTTCCCTGGAGTAACTATATACTGAGTAACTATACCATTGATGCAAGAGTGGAAAGTGCATTGGTAGGTCACTGAAGTCGGTGAAAGTGTTTGAGCAAGTGGAATTTTGGCACTACTGTGGCAGGTAAATATTAATATCTTGGCAAGCCATTGAATGCCAATCTCGATCTTGGTATCATCAGAAATGGCATACCATGCACTTTTAAAATAAATATTGGAACAAAGAATTCCCAAGGTGGCAAGTGTCGATTTTGGCCACTGAACTTGATAAAAACTGTTTGATATAGTGGAACTTCTTGGTTCAGCTTAGGAGAATAATAATCAATTTAAAGAGGGCAATCTCACTATTAAAATGACACCAGAATGAAGCTTATATCCTAACTTAAATATCTATGTGGTGGGGATGCCAATACCAATATGGCAACAGGAGCATTGCTATGATCAGAAGGTCTGGGGACAGTGAATCCAGTTTGCCTCAGGTTTACAAATGGTCTTTGGTTTACCAACTTACTAAAAGGGGGGATGCACACCTCCCTAATAACATGATTGCTTATTTTTTCCTAGCATCATTGTACAATATGCCTCCCTGTATAGGTAACACTCCTGGAGGAGACTGAATCCAAGTCATCAGTTGCAAGCAGATGCATGGCTCATTTATAATATTGAAACTTTCTTATTGCTAATGAAGCATGGCCACTAGTTATTGGCAGGCTCTGTTATATTCTATCCCATTTCATTTTGCGTGCAGATCCCATCTCTGAGTCCAGGCCGAAGCAATTGGGAGCGCCACAATCTTCTTTCTAGTCAGCCTGATGCCTGCGGGCTCTGTGATAATCTTCCTTTGACTGGATGCGTCCAGTATTTTGTGGCAGGTTTGCCCTCAAGTTTTTCTTTCAAGAAAAAGGAAAGGGAGGATTTTTCATGATGTTCTTCATGTTGCCTAGGACACTTGCCTAGAAAGATAGCAGACTATGAGAAACGCCACCGGTCCCTGGCATCCACATATGTCACATTCAGCCCTGATGGGGGAGATCTCCTTGTGAACCTGGGTGGAGAACAGATCTACCTGTTCAACCTGTATGATCGACAGCGACCTTCATTTGTTGAATTCCCGCCTGCATTCCTGTCGGCCCATCAGAATGGCATGTGCAAAGGTCAGCCTTTTGAACAAAGACTAAGTCTGTGCCAATTGATCTTGAGTTGACTCCTTAACTACTTATTATGTAAATTAAAACTAGTAGAAGTTGGGAGCTCAAATGGATATCGGAATGGGACAACAGCCAATGGGTTTTCCCGCTCTCATCCTCCCTTCTCTACAATGAGTCCACTCCTGTTGGATGTTGAGGAGTTGAAGGAGAAAGCAAACAGTTTGTTTGAGAAACAGCTTTATTCAAGAGCAATATCCATGTACAATGAAGCCATCACTCTGTCTCCATCTCCCATCCTTTACGGAAACCGAGCAGCTGCACTGATGAAGCGAAATTGGTCTGTCCAAACCAATGTTCATAAGATCGAAATGTAGAACTATTTATGGAAATTGTTTTCTCTCTCTTCAGGGATGGGGATGTGTATGCTGCCCTCAAGGACTGCCTTAAAGCTCTACAGCTAGATTCTGGACACTTTAAGGCTCTCTTCAGGTCGGTCTTCTCTTTCTCCCTGATGGGTACTCATTGGGTTTATATGATGATGAGACTTCTATGTCATCATCATTCAGGTTAGCCCGCTGCCTTCATGAGATGGACCTGGCACATGAGGCATCTCAATGCCTTCAGGTTTTCAAGACCAAGTTTCCTGAACAAGCATCATCAAGCACTTTCCTTGCCCTTGACAAAGACATTTCATTTTCCATCCAGTCCGCCTCATCATCCTCATCTGTCTCACATCAAGATGACTCTGGTGTGTTCATTGGAAGCAAAAAAATTTAGTTTGGTCAGCCAGCCTTTGGGGTTTTCTTAATGATGTTAAAATCTTAAATTAGCCTTCTTCACACAACCAAATGCTTTCCTTGCCTATATACATTCAAATGGGGGAAGCTTTTATGGATGTAGTCTCTGTTTGTACAGAGTGTTAAGGAAAAAGTTGAACTCTATTGAAGATAGCTGTTAATGACCGGGTGCATGAGCAACATGAATTCTAGATTAAACTCAATACTTAAGTTTCATATTGTCAGTATCCCCATCTGTCCTCTATTTAAAATATTTTCCCATCTGAGGGATGTATGCTTCAGATATATACATACAAAGTTTCTCATATTCAGTGAGCTTGTGTGATTTTATAAAAGGTCTGCAAATTTTTGACTTTTTCTAATCAACTTAAATGTACATGAAGTTTCATTGTAATCAGCATGCCTCTCACTTACAAATTGCAGCAAATGAGAATGATTTTCTAAGTTCATTTTATCTTGTAGAGGGGGAAGATTGGCTGGAGCAAGAGAAAGAAGGAGGACGGAAGACTCCAGTGGTTTTTGGTGGGATTTCAGATGAGGAACGCAGATGGCGACAAGAGGCTTGGGATTACACATCCCGATTTTGTGGCCATTGTAATACCACCACTGACATCAAAGAAGCCAACTTCTTTGGCAGCAAGGGAGAATACATAGTGGCTGGTAGTGATGAGGGTTCCTTCTTTGTTTGGGACCGAGAGACAGGCAACATTGTCCAGGTCCTGCGCGGTGATGAAAGTATTGTCAATGTCATTCAGCCTCATCCTTCCCTCTGTCTCCTGGCAACATCTGGGATTGAACATGTCATACGCCTCTGGTCCCCTCGCCCTGATGTACGTCCCTATTGCTTTCAACTTTCTTGCTTTACTGGCTTTCTAATTGAAGCAGGGAGAATAAAAACAGCATAAGTTCAGAGCTACAGAATTAGACTTATGTTGTTGCTATCACTGTATTGGTTATTCCATCTCAGCATGAAAGTACAGATGTGCAGATGCTTGGTGTTTGCTTTTGTACCATCATTGCTCTTCTGAGGTGTGCCTTGACCAAAAGTTCCTGCTGCTTTTTCATTCTAGCACAACTGTCATACTGAGTTGGAAGTAAGAATTGGTGCAGTCTTGATGCTGGACAGCTACCTTTTTGAGCAGATTGTAGGGTTTCAGAAAGTAACTCATGGAAGAAATTGCTAATAAGTATATTTTTACTTTAAGAGAGGTACATCAGTGACCATGTCAGACTTCTCTCATCAAAGAGCTTCTGTTCTTCATTCTCCAATTGAAGACAATAGTTTAGGAAGAATGAAGCAAGAATAAAATGAGATATGCTGCATCATATCTTGTTATGAAACTTTGTACTTTGTTCTTGTACTGGAGTGATAAGGTCATATCCAGACCAAGAGCAATCATTATTCTCATTTGGGTTTCTGAGACAGTCCTAAAATTGTGGCCAGGAGCTTTATTATGAAAGCCTGCTGTAGGGTGAATTGAGCAAGGTAAAAATGATCAATTGTGAAGAGGAAATGCTAGAAGTTGCATTGCTTTAGCTCTGTAGGTGCTGGTTACCTGTGAACTGGGGTGGATGAAACCATAAACACACATTAGGACAAGTTATATGAAATGCTTGCTGTCACTGGTTCACTGTATCCCTTTGAAGATAAATGCAACGCCATGCATTTGTAGCCATTCCATTACTGCATTTTGAACAAGTTATTAGGTACAGATTGATGTCCAATGAGTTCCCACCTCTCACTAATATTGAGCATTGAGTTTCCCATGCATGAAATCTAGGGAGAGTAGGAAGTATCCAAAATGATCCAGTGATCTAATGGCCAAACAGAGATTTACCTTTGATTGGGCATACTTGAATACCATGATTGTCATCCAAAATGTCTTCATAGTGTTCCATAACTGGTATTAATAACTGAGTAAATTAAAAAAAAATAATAATTTATTGGGCATATAGCTCAATCTTACAATATTCATCATCATCTTGGTTGATGTACTTTGGTCATCTATGCTGACCTCTCTTTTTTTTTGTCTCCAGGAAGAGAAGGGGAGTGAACACCAGGTGAAGGACCTTGATGGAGTTGCAAGTGCAAACCAAAAGCGCATGAATACAGACCCACTTGAAGTAATGCTTCTCAACATGGGTCATCACTTCCGTTCCATGAGGAGCCTGGAGGAGGTTGGTGAGGACCTCATTCAGAATGCCAACATTGGAGATACTAACATTCACACCACGTGCCGTACCAGCTGAGAACATGTGATTTGTTTACTTTTATTTCATCAACCCACCTCCATATTTTTTTTCAGCTTGTCAGTCCCAGATATTCTTAAAATTTCTCTGGAATCCCTTTCTTTCCATAAAGTGCTTCCCTAATTGCAAAAAAAATCTGGAAACATTTTCTTACTCTTTCCTTACCTTGCTCATTATCAAGTTTCTCCCTTTGTTTGCTTGGTCAATGGGTCTTTATTTATTTATTGCCATTCATGCCTGTATGTGTTTCATCACAGTCATCCCATTTGCATGATAATCTTGGAGTTGCATACCCGGTGTCAATGGTTCATCACTCTTCATCTCTTGTTTTTCTTCTTATTTTCATATTCATGGCATGATGCAAAAAAGACAAAAGAAAAGTATGAGTTTTGTCTTTTGAAGAATTTCTCAAAGTTCCATTGATCATGTGTACAGAGACATTAAGAGAAAAAAAAAAAGAAATATAGGTATACAGTGGCATGAATAGGCTATTTGCTGCTGGAAAGATGAATAATCGAGCAGAATAGAGATTTGGATTTTTCCTGTTTTTCTCTTGGACTATTGTCATTCCATTTCCACCTTTCGATGCATCAAGATGATCCCTTTCCACTCCAAATTTTGGAAAAATTATGCACCACCAACTCCAATTTAAATTGCATCAAAATATCAGGTAACGCACACTATATTTTTCTTTTTCTTACAACCAGTACACCAAGTGGAATTTTCTAAAAATGAGTTTTAGGTGGTGCAGGTTGGCAGTAGCTGAGTTTGCAATTATAGATAGATGTTTTTAAGCTAGGCAGTGATTATCATGTGGGACATGACGGAGGAGTGGAAAAGGTCAAGAGTGATCAATGGTACAACCAGGGCGGGAGAGGTCAGAGGGTTTGAACCTCCTCGCCAAAAGACTTGAAAAGCCCTCCCCCCCCTCCTTGAAGGCGTATACGAGGGTCATGCCAAAAGTTCGTTCGTGTGGTCAATATTTTTAATTAAAACATTTTAAAAATAGAAGCATGGCATGATTTATCCTTTAATATAGTCTCCTTGGAGTTAGATAGTCTTTCGCCATCGATGTGAAAGCTTCTCAATGCCATCTGCCAGCCCTTTTCTGAACATGTCATGCAAAACACTACTTGCAGCTGTGTGCAACTCCTCCAAGGTAGCGAATCGTCGACCCCGCAGCGGCTCTTTCAGAAGACGGAACAAGTCGTAGTCAGGGGAGCTGATGACTATAGAGCTGACTATAAGGTGGATGGGGAAGGTATTCCCATCCCAGTTTCTCCATCAGGTCCCGCGTAGACTCCGCCAGCTCCTCGCAGGTCCACTTGCGATCACCCTCCAAAGTTGCTGCACGTGTTCTTGGTCAGTTGCAGTTTTTGGTCGGCCCGAAAGTGAAGCATCCTGTGTGGTTGACTGACCAACTTCGAACCGCTTGGCCCACTTCTGCACCGTACGGAGGTCAACGGCCTGCTTGCCACAAGCTGCCACTAGACCTTGGTGGATCTCCGGAGGCTTCTTTTGTCGCAGCGTCATGATCTTGATGTAGGCTCTGCTCTTCTGTAGTCACTTCAGCCATTGGAGCCGAGTTATCAAACAATGCACATTTGATAGTGCACTGTAGCGGCTATACAAATGATTGATGAATGAAACTCAGCTCACATTTTAACTATTTCTCAGTGAATATTATCAACTACTCTGCAAATTATTTTCGTTCATGGAGACAAAATTCTGGACAACACGAATTAACTTTTGGCTTGACCCTCGTATAAGGAGACCTTCCTCGTTCCTTCACCCAATGACATAACTTGGATAGGAAATACCTTCACAAGTCTCAATTATGAAAGTCCATCTGATGTCAATGTAGGTTTCGAGCAGTTGCGAATCGATTGGGGGAAGTAGCCCCCACTACTGGCCTGCCAGAAGCGTGGGGCATGTGGGTATGGGTCCATGTCCGTATTTTGGGAAAGAGGAAACCTGCATACGATCGAGAAGGATAATTGATGCGTGTAGCAGATGATCCCAGTGATGAAGCTGTAGAGACAGAATGCATCTAGCACAGCATTTTTCAACTGGAGATCTGTGAAACCGTGCCCAGAAAATTAAGGAGAAATATATAAACTGGTACTGAAAAATGGCGGATGCCGTTTGAGATTCTAGGATCGGAGGGAAATAAAACCTACAATAGTGCGCCCTCACAATGTTCGTCTTTTCTCCTGACGCCTTTAGATACAAGATATTAAAGTCTATGAACTTATGAGCCTCAAAGTGAAGAATCATGCTTCCAGAGGAAATGTCGTGGGCCTGAAATTGCCAGTGTTTTTCCTGCACAGCTTCATGCCAAAATGGCGACGAGACACTATCAAAGGCAATGGGTCAAGTATGGTTACCATAAGTTGTCTAGCAATTGAGATGAGAAAGGCCCTTAATTATTTTCTTCCTGTAGAGTAATAACTAAAAGATAAGAAGTTGGAAGAATGACGGACTTCCTTGCAAAGGAGGAGGACTCACTGCTCCCGGGACTGATATTCCTTCTACATGCAAAGGGCGATAAATAAGTTCGGAGAATTAGCGTGGTTCCTTGAATTTACGCTGTACATGTAACCCTTTTCCTTGATAGTAATTTCTCCCCCAAAATTTCCAGATGTTTCTTTTAAATGCAAAATGGGAGTTTATTTCCTATTGCGAGTGACGCTCAAGTATGAAATAAAAAAATATTGAGCATCGTTCGGTGATGTTCTCGACCACGGAATATAACTATGGCATGCATATCCATGGCCGAATTGTGGCTGTGTATAGTCATGGTTGCCCTTTATGTAGAACACTTGCGAAGTGGTCAAATTAATTCAGGCGGCAGCCTCAGTCCATTGAAGACTACCGCATGTTTGGGAGGCCTAGAGACACCATTTCGGAGGGATAAATCCATGCACAAAAGCCGACACCCTGGTTCTCAACTACAGGCGAGTAAAGGTTGCACAATTGGCCTTAGAACTCTGTATTTCTCATGAGATTGATTTAATCATCCTCCAAGAGCATTTGGACATGTCAAAGGGTAAAAAACAAACAATAGCGCTACGAATCTTTTCAGCATAGCAACGTGCTCGTCGCCACAAGTCAAGTGACAAACTTCTCACTCTCTTTTCTTTGACCCAGATGACTTCTATGCTGCTTGGGTTCTGGCAATGCAACCATGGTTCTCACTGTAACCCAGAGACTAAACGAGTCTATGCAATGGAAGCACCGGGGTTGTGCAGCCCCTGAAGAAGCTTCACATGCAACCTACTGCGGGAAAAGACTAGGCCACCATTTTCTTGAATTCCGCAGAGCCACTCAACCTCGCAAAAGATCCATTACAGGACAGTATCATGCCAGTGTGGTGCGGTAGCTGAGGCGTGCGATCATGGCCAAAAGTGTGCTGCTTCACCATGGCACTGCGCCATATTCATGGGTGCTTTAATTGCTCAAGAGAGTATTCGTGAGTTCAAGCAGTTACACCACCCATCCCAGAGTTCTGAATCCTCCAGTTGCTGTTTCTTGCTAAAAAGTCTCAAATTTCACTTTCGTGCTGCCAGATTTTTAGGTGACAGCAAACTGAAGGAGGTTGTTAATGCATGGATTTGTAATGGCAATCAGGAAATTTTCCTTTTTTAAAAATTTCTTCACTCACCGACAAAGGGAGGTGTGCATCGCTAAACATGAAAAGCACATTTTAAAATAAAAATGCTTCTGCAAGACTGCGGTGATCTTACTTATGAATTTCTACGAACTTATTCATCGCCTCTCGTACATTCGTCAAAGGAAATTGTTCCTCTGTTTCTCTCCGCAGCGGATATGAATATCACTTCCCAGCCTTAAAGATCGAAAAGTGTCGTCTGTGTAACGATAGAGAGAGAATGGATGCTGCGTTCCCCCCCTCCCCCGGGGTTTCTGCACTCACAAGAACGAGAAGATTCTACGATTGAGAATATGGCTTTGCCGGTCTTTCTTTTATTTTGATCCCAATCTCGGGGTTCATGACTCCCAGCCCTTGGTACCGTGAGCAGACAAATCGTCGCCGGACAAAATGTTGCGGAAAAAAATTTCACCGTTGAGTAAATGGTGGTTCTGGTGTTTTATACACATGTGGCTGGAGGTTGAACTGGAATAGGGACAGGGAGAAAGTTTCCTTCAGGAAGAAGCTGAGTACCAAGTACAAGCTAATAATATTCATTCAATAAGAAATCACATGTAGATACGCATAAAGAGCTGCGTTGATTTTGCAGAGTTCGTTTGACGGATGCCTCTGATGGCAAAGCGCACGAGCATCGTCATCCAAATGCATCATGACTTGCGAGTAGACAACACCTGGCTTGTCACACGTCTTGGCCGCTCGTTGCTTCATGGAGACACATTTGTTGATCTTGGTAGCTGTCGTGTCTGGAGCATGGTTATGTGCTACTCCCGGACAGAAATTGGTGCAGTCGGCGTCCGTGAACAAAATTCCCCCACAAGATGGGGACCGCAGGGCACAGCACCACCGGATTTTGTCGTTCTTCTGGGAGTGCTTCACATGCCTTCGAAGATAATTTTCCGTCCGCCTTTCTGGTTCGAGATGAACTCCATGGTTACTTGAAGTGAAATGAATGATCTTAAGACACTGTATTTATATATCATCCGTTTGAAGATACTTTGAACAATGGCATCATGATCTCCTCCTCATGCTTCACAGGGGGCAGGAGGAAATTGTCAATCAAGAGTTGTCAGTGTCTTGTCTAAAACAATGTTCAACGATTTTTTTCCCATGATCCTCTGCATGGAGCTTAACTTTCCGCCTTCCTCGGGATCAATACGCACCTACCTCCTAGATAATTGTAGGCAACCGGACCTTCTCATGTCACATTTCAATTACTCCATTGCTATTGAAATTGGTCCAAAGGACAGGCGAAATAGCAGCAAAATCCCACGCACCAGATCTTATCTCAAGTGACTTTTTTCTCACGTTTTCCTTTGCA